ACCAAAAAAAAAAAAAAAAGAAAGAAAGCCATGCCCAAAAGTTAAGCTGCTCACTACTAGCTTAACTGTGTCCCCAAACAAAGATCACTTATAGGAATACAAGAGTATCTAGAATTCAACAATGCCAAATTATCATTGTCTGTAATCCAATCAAAGATTACTAGGCATGAAAAGAAACTGGAACAAACTAGCCCCTGTGGGACTATAAATGAATTATTTGAAGTCACACCAGAAATAAAATGGATCTGTTAGAATTAACAAACAAGAACATTAAAACAGTTATTACAATCTTTTTTTTTTTTTTTTTTGGTACCAGGGATCGAATACAGTCATATTCTATATGGTCTAAAAGTTAAATAAAGACATGCAATATCTAAAAAAAGAAAAAGACAAAATTTACAATGTGAGAAATGAAATAAAAACTGGCTAGGATTAATGGGAGACTGGATGCCAAACAACAACGAAAAGATTACTGAGTATGAAGACACAGCAATAGAAACTATCCAAATAAAATGCAGAGAGAAACAAAGGGACAAATATTAACAAAGCTTTGGTGAGATCTGGGACAGCTTCAAATGGTCCAGTATATGTGTAATAAAAGTCCATAGCAGAACTGGAAACAAAAAAATATTTGAGAGCTGTAGCTCAGTGGTAGAGCACTTGCCCAGTATGCTAAAATTTTTCCAAATCTGATGCAAACTACAAACACAGAGCCCCAAGAAGTTCAAAGCACAAAACGTATTAAAGTTATGCTAAAGTGCATACATTATCACTAAAATCAGGGAGAAAAGAAACAGGGAGAAAATACACATTATATACAGTGTAAAAAGTTAGTTTGGCTACAGATTTTTATATTGGAAATAATGCAGTGAAGCAAAAAGATAGTGAAGTAACATTTTTAATGTACTGAAAGGAAACAAACTGTGAACCTAGAATTCTATATCTAGTAAAAATATCTTTCAAAAATGAAGGCCAGCTAAGAGTGTAGCTCAATGGTAGGGTATGCACACAGTGTGGACAAAGACCTTGAGTTCAATCCCAAATGTAACTAGAAAAATAAAATAAAATAAATCCTTAGTTTAAGGGAAAATAAATATATTTTTCCTCAGACATTTTTTTTTCCTTCAGAAGCTGAATTTCCTGCAAGCAGATCCACACTACAAGAAATGATAAAGAGTTCTTCAGGGAGAAGGAAAATATTACCAAGTGAAATATGGGTCTACACCCAAAATTGAAGACCACCAGAAATAGTAACCACATGGGTAAATATATGTTTTTCTTTATTATATAAATCTCTCAAAATGATTACTGGCTGAATAAAAATAATATAACATGTATTTATAACATACTTAAAATAAAATGTATGACAACAATTGGAAAAATATTGGGAAAAAAATAGAACTATACTATTGTAAGGCTCCTAGACATGAGGTGGTATAAATCACTTGTAGGTAAACTGTGATAAGTTAAACATGCATACTATAAACCCTGAAGAAGCTGCAAAAGAACAGAAAAGTTCTAACTAATAAGCTAACAAAGGAGATAAAACAGGACCAGAAAAATATTTGACTAAACCAAAAGAAAAATAGGGGGAACATATTACAGATAGAACAAATAGAAATTGTGAAGGACTTAAATCTACCCATTTGAATGATAATATTACGTTTTGATGGATTAAATACCTCAATTTAAGGGTAAATGTAAATGGACTAAAAAGCAATGTGGGGATGTAGCCCAGTGGGAGAGTGTGTGCTCAGCATATGTGAGGCCCTGGGTTCAATCCCAGCAGTGGACTCCCCCAAAGTAATATATATTTTATATATAACAAAATGTATGCCACTCATATGAAACACACATTGACAGAACAAGTAAGCCAAAAAATCAGTAAGAATTCAGATATGAAAAGTCTGTCAGTCAACTTGACCTAGTTAGTATTTATAGAACATTCCACCCCAATCAGAACAACATAGTTATCAAGATGGTCATACTCTTGGCCATAAAATACTTTTTGTTTTTGGTACTAGGGATTGAACTTGGGTCCTTGCACTCGGGAGGCAAGTGGCAGAACCACTGAGCTAAATCCCCAGCCCTTTAAAATACATTTAAAAGGAGTCAAGTCATACAAATTATGTTCTCTGGCCTCAACTGAACTAGAGTGGAAATCAACACCACAATGATCTCTGGAAAATTCCAAAATATTCAGAAACTAACTTATATATCTAAATAATAAGTCAAAGAATAAATCAAAACATATTTTCTAGAAAATATTCTGAATTGAATAAAAATGGAATCACAGCATATCAAAATTGTTTTCAAAGGATTTTCTTCTTTCTTTCTTTTTTTTTTTGGTACCGGGGATCGAACTCGGGTCTTTGTGCTTGCACAGCAGGCGGCGAAACCACTGAGCTAAATCCCTGGCCTTCTTCTTTATTTGAAGAGAGAAGATATTTTAACAATTGTGGCATTAGGACTGGTACAAGAATCAAGTCCTCAAAAATTTTTTTTGAGGGGACTAAGGATGGAATCTAGGGCCTTGCACATGCTGGGCAAATGCTCTACCACAGAGCTGCTTCCCCAGATTTTAAACCATCAAAATTTCTGATCTGATCTGGCCCTCCATCTGCATAAAGAATGGAGTGCTGAGTGTAATGAGAGCAGGAAAGAGTCTGTGTGAGGACTGAACTGGGGATAATGGAAACTATGTGATCCAAAATTAACAGAACTGTAATAGTCATTACAATATTCACAGAAGGGAAAAATCTCTGAGATCATCTTTAAAGATATAAACAAAATCGGCTTTGAGCAAGATAGAGACAGCAGTGTCTATAGCATAGGGTGCTATGAGGATCTGATGCAATTGTGCATGTAAAGCATCTGTATGTAGTCTCTGGCACAGTGGCTGCTTGGTAAACCTTAGCCATACTCAGATCATTTGTTTTCTTGAGTTTGATGCTATGAGTAATAATTTTTGTTTCTTACTCTATTTTAATTAAAAATACTGGTTTAGGGCTGGGGATTTAGCTCAGTGGTTCAGGCGGCTGCCTCACAAGAGCAAGGTCCCGAGTTCGAAACCAGTACAAAAAAAAAACAAACCTGAAAAATGCTGGTTTAAAAAGTGTGCACTATCTTCCTATGTAAAAGAAACACATAATACATATAAGTTTGGTCACTAAACCCTTATAAAATACAGAAGGAAACATCTTTCCCATTTGATTGGCCACCTCAATAAAATGAATTTCCAGAAACAAAATTCAAAGAAAGCAAAGTATATACACACTCAAAATCAGGCTGCTGGAAAAGGTTTGTTTAATCCTGTGCCATCAGGGGAAATACTCATTGAGAGTCTTAGGAATTACCTCCCTCGATCGTGCTGGCCAGAATCCACGGGCTTACTGAGGACCAGCCAATTTCGTTCATGCAGGACACACCAATGCTGTAATTAGCCAGGGCTTGCAGCTGCTGGATTTGATACAGATGTGGTGAAGCAGAGGTGTTAAAAATCATGACTGAGCCTTTACTCAGAGGATCAACTTCCTTGACCTGAATGAAGAGCAGAGACGTGGACACATTAGTAATGTGGTGGAAATGTTAGACTTGGGCACACATCCACTTGCCCCACCTGGGCTTCCCCTGCTCTGGGGAAGGACCTGCTTCCTCTCAGGCCACATACATCTTCCCACTAGCACAACTGAGTGTTATTCATGCTATGTGGGTAACAACTGGGTATCTCGGGAAATGCCAAGACTAAGTATTCTCACTGTGACAGGTAGCAGAGTTAGCAATTAGCATGACCATAACATAACGATTAGAAGTCATACTGTATTAGAAAAAAAGAGAAAGTAGCCCCTTTTCTCTTGGACCCACCTCAATTATTATTATTATTACTATTGTTATTATTTTGGTACCAGGGATCAAACTTGGGTCCTTGCGCTTGCGCAGGAGGCGGCAAAACCACTGAGCTAAATCCCCAGCCCTGCACCTCAATTATTGATTTCTTCTTTTAGCTGCTTCACATAATATGCAACATAAGCAATAAATATTGTCTGTGGCTGGCACAGCCTAAAATATTTACCAGGCTGCGGATTTAGCTCAGTGGTTCCGCCACCTGCTTCACAAACAGAAGGACCCGAGTTTGATCCCCGGTACCAAAAAAATAAAAATAAAATAAAATAAAATAAAATATTTACCGTGTGGTCTTTTAAAGGCAATACTTCCCAAATCCCACTTTAGAAGACAGATTTCTTGGCTTAAAAAAAAAAAAATCTGTATTCCTTTCATAATGAAACCTGAGGATCCCTATTCTCACCTTGAGGCTAATTAGCAGTGTCCTATATTATCACCCTGCTTGACTCTGGTAGACACTCAACTCCAGAGGCACCCACAGATAAGGTATATTTAACGACATTAGGGAAGGACACAGGAAAGAGTCATTTATATCTCATCCAGTAAACTTTTTTCCAAACTTCTTTAAATGTATATTTCCTTACCTTTCCTTCCCCAAACTCCACAAGTCTCTCTACATCTCTCTCCAAATATCTGTACAAATAGGCAAGTAAGGGGGATTCCCAGCAAAAATCTAGTCCTATGCCAAATTTTTACCGATTTTATTAAGCACACTTCCTGTTTGGGAATGGTGTAACGAGAGAGTTTGGGAATATTCCCCCAATACCTGGTTTTTCAAAGTTTCTATAATATATAGTACTCATAAAATCAGAAGAGACTAAATAGTACTGGGTAAAAAAGAAAAAACCTAAAGCAATTTTGGGAAAAACATCTTCAACCCACAAAATGTATTCCCTTTACTAATGGGCATGCAGTTATGGAGTGTGGCTACACAATACTGTTATTCTGGGATATATGTGTTTGAAATTTACGCCAAGGGGACATAAATAAACATTTTGGAACTGTATGTTCCCTGGTGATGCCATGAGGGTGGTGTGGGGGCCAAGTTCCACCTCTGAGTCAGACCTTGTGGGTGACAGGAAGGTATCAGTTGGTCTGAGGAGTCACTACAGGAGAAAAAAGGGCCATGTGCTTATCTTGGCGGTGGCTGTTGGCAGAAACTGCTCTTTGTTTCTTCACATTAGAGTATTACCTACTTCCTGGTGAACAGTCACTAAAGCTAAGGTGGAGGAGAGCTTTGGCTGTCTGCTACCAATCCCATTTCCAGGGATGCTCTTAAAGAACATGTTCCTGGAAGAAGATGTGATTTCAATCACAGTCCTTCTCAGTGAGTCCTGGGGAAAAGGGAGCATGAAATGGCAAGAAGTATGCAGGAGAGTTAAAAATAGAAGTGGAATATGTGGCCCAAAAAAATGGGCGAAGAAAGGAACTAACGTCAGGACTACAGGAAGCAAGAGGGTGTGCCCTGCTAGTGTATGGATCTGAATCTCAGCCAAAGCATTCAATCATTACCAAGTCAGAATTTAAAATTATAATGAACTACATACCCATACTTGGTCCTTTCAGGAATGAGAAAACAGGATTAAACCAGACTATCAAAGTATAACTTCTAGAGAAAATATAGGATACTCAGTTAAATATGAATTTCCAATAGATAACACTTTTTTAGTGTAAATAAACTACAAGAATACTTGTGTAATTTACCTGAGTGTCCTGATTCTAATTTACTAAATCTAGCAATCCTATCAGAAATGGAAAGGAGAAGGAATGAAGGGAAGGACTGAGCTAATAGGTAGGGCAAAGACAGAATGATCACATCCAGTACCACAGGATCTGGGGTGAGAGGGGTGTGTAACTTGGCTTCCCCAGGATGATTTCTCATGTGGGCCATGGCTACCCAAAGCCACAGCAAAGACAGAGGTAGCAGGTGAAGCTTGTGTGTGATCATCTTCCACCTCCTGGGTGAGCTGGTGTTCTTAGATCTCCTAGCCATTCTGCCCCACCTCTTGTTTATCCTGAGAGCCACTCTCTCAAGGTATTGGGGGGACTCTTCTTAAGTCTCCTTGAATGTAACCATTTCCATGTGTGAAGGCATATCATGTCCTCTTAGATATCTCAAACAGCTCAGCAACATGGTGACAGTTTGTAAAAGGGTTGGTCCATGCTTTAGTTGTGTCCATTTATATAAATGCCTACCACCAGGCCCTGCTTGTTCCCAACAATAGAGCTCCAAATTATGCAAAGCAAAAATGACAGAATAAAGGGAGAAACAGTCCAGAAATAAACAGTAAGACCTCAACTCTTCACTTTCAATTACAGGTAGAACCACTCTGCAGAAGACAGGTGAGGGGACAGACGACTAAGCGAGACTATGAAACAACTAAACCCACCAACACACACAGAACACTCCACCTGACTATAGTGGAATGTATTTTCTTCTCAAGAGCCTGGGAAACATTCTCCAGGACAGAACATATGCTAGGCCATAAAACAAGCCTTAGTAAGTTCAACGGGACTGAAATCATACTGACGATATTCTCCAAACACAGTGGGAAATCAACAAAGGAAGAAAATTTGAAAAATTTACAACTATTTGGAAATTAAAGAACACAGTCCTAAATAACCAAAATTGTCAAAGAAAAAAGACAAAAAAAAAGCAACCCTGAGATGAATAAAAACACAACAAAACAAAACCTTATGGGATGCAGCTATAGCAGTGCTTAGAGGGAAATATGAAGATACCTATATTTAAAAAGAAGAAATCTCAAATCAATAATCTTCTATCTTAGGAAACTAGAAGATGAGAAAATTAAGCCAAAGTAAACAGAATAAAATGAAGACTAAGACAGAAATGAATAGACAGGAGAAAAAAATTTAAAACTCAAAAGTTGCTTGTTCAAAAAGATGAATAAAACTGGCAAACCTTTAGCTAGGCTGATGAAGAAAAATAAAAGAGAAGACACAAATTACTAATATCAAGAATGGAAAGGGACACATTAATATTAACCTTAAAGAAATGAAAAGGATTGTTATGGAATACTATGAACAATTGTATACCAACAAATTGGATAACTTAGATAAAATGATCAAATTCCTAGAAACACCCAAACTATCAAAACTGACTCAAGAAGAAATAGCCTGCAGTGCCAGTGCACAACTCTGAATAAAGTAAAAGCCATTGAATTGCACTTAATTTTATTTATTTATTTATTGTTTTTTGAGACAGGGTTTCACTATATATTCTAGGCTGTCTTTGAACTCACTGTGTAGCTCAGCCTGGCCTTGAACTCACAGAGATCCTTCTGCCTCAGCCTCCTCAGTGCTGGGCCAACAGGCTTACACCACTATCCCCAGCCTGAATTGCACTTTAAATGGGTGAATTCTGTGGTATGTTAAATAAATATATATATATATATTTTTTTTTTAAAGTGTTTTTGTTTTTGTTTGGGTACCAGGGATTGAACTCAGGACCTTGTGTTTGTGAGGCAGGCGTGGTGCCACTGAGCTACATCCCCGGGCCAAAAAGTGTTTTTTAAAAAGAAAGATATCCCTGGTGAGGAATCACAAATATAAGAATTCCTAACACTTATGAGTAATTACAAATAATTACGAGGTTTACAAATAGAGTTAGGCAAGAACTAACTAATAAAGTTAACTAAGGCTGGGCTGAGGGTGAGAGAGTAGGACACATTCAAGGTTGAGACTCTGAAAATAACCCATTCCTGCCTCTGTTGCTAGCCTTGGTCTCTTCTATTTGGGTTACTTGGAAATGGACAGGGGTTTTCTTTATGGTTTTTTGAAGTATGGGTCCTTTTGGGGGGAGACTGAAGTAGCTTGTATATTTATTTGAATGGTATTGATCTCTCTTGTATTTTTAGTTTTGTGATGTTGACGTTTGTGTTTTCTGATGGGAATGTGATTTTGTGTGACATTCATCACAAATGGAGTGTCTTTTCCATTC